CGAGTTCACGAGATACGGCACTTCGTGCTTTTACCTGGAATAGGGCTTGATATGAGTAACTCAAGGGTAAGTGTCTATGATATGAGAACCGTTTAGATCGGTTAATGTACCTTGCATACATAGTTGGGTAAAGTACCATTTAAGCTACTAGATTCGCTAAGTGAAATTAAGCCCTTGGTGCACCTGATCCCCGTGGGCAACTGGAGTATATGTTGGGTTACTAATTACTCATTGAGTGGCGTCTCACCCCCGCCAATATTTTTCCCTTTCAGAGGCAAAGCAACAACAGAAGCCTCGGTCGAACCAGTGAAGTCAGCCGGATGGCTGAAAGGTGTGCAGCGGAACTGAACTCTCCACATGTTTTCACTTTTGAAGTCGAACGAAATGTTTTAATGCTTTTAAGCTTGTGTACCCACTGAATGTTAAACTACTATGTTGGGTTTGTACTTTGTTTTAAACTCAAAACTTTGCACCGTTCAGTGTTTTGCTTTTGGATGCTTTGGGAAAACTACCTTAGATTTCCTAAGGAGGTGATGTAACCCGTATGCTAGTGTTATGTCCAGGTCTGAATGTGAAGTTAAATCCTAAGGTTTAATGAGTATATAATGTGATGATGGTTCCAATAGTACGAGAAGAGGTAGTAGGATGTTACAAGAAGTAGTAGGGTGTTACAGGTTGTGGTATCAGAGCTGGGATATGATCCCTCGGGATTAAAGTGATTTTTAATGAAGTTTTGAATTGTTTTAAAATGGATTTCAAGTTGGAAGTGTATATAATAATTTTGTTCTGATTTCTATCTTTGTTATTTTCATGTGGAGTTCAGTTCAAGAGAAAGGGAGCATTCCCAGCCACCTCAAGTAGCCGGTTCAAATCGGCCTCCTCCCGAAAATCAAGCTGAGCCTCAGGCTAATAACCAACCTCAGGTAGTTCCCTACAAAAGGGATTATACTGAGGTGTGGAAGATGGGTGCTGAGGCCTTTAAGGGTTCTATAGATCCCAAAGTGGCTGTCGATTGGCTGAAAAAGACCGAGCACATTCTCAATCAAATTGGGTGTCCTGATGACGTCAAGTTTGATTATGCTGTAGCCCTCCTCGAAAAAGATGCTTATGATTGGTGGTTAACCGTACCCGGAGTTGTGGATAACACTGTTCAACTCACGTGGAACGATTTTCTCCGATTGTTCAAGGAGCGATATGTGCCAACCGTCTACCAAGATCAGAAGAAGGTGGAGTTCTTAATGCTTAAGCAAAAAGAAGGTCAGACGGTGGATGAATATGAGGTGACCTTTCATTGTTTGATGACATTTGCGATGGATATGGTCCCAACTGAAAAAGATAAGTGCCTTCGATTTGAGAGGGGGCTCCGCAAAGAGTTAAGGGAAATTGTATACATGTCTGATGTGGATGGTTATGGCAAACTGAAGGCAGCCGCCATAAGGGTTGAAATGATTTTAAATGAGAACAAGTCCCGTACTCAAAGTTACGGGATCGAAGATAGGAAACGAAAGTGGAAGGGGTCATCCTCAGCAGGTCAAAGTCGAGCTTCTAGTTGGGGTCCTAGTAAGGGGAACTTTACTCAGCGCCCTCGAGTAAGTTTCCTTAGGGGACATGCTAACCAGACCCATATGAGTGCACCTCCACCACCTGAGTGCCCTCATTGTGGAAGGATGCACCAGGGAGAATGTCGCATCATGACGGGTGCTTGTTTCAAATGTGGTGGTTTTGGGCATCTCATTAAAGATTGTCCAACTTGGGAAGATACAGTGCCGGTTAGGTCCCAAACTACTATGCAGGGATCCCGAGTGGCCAGTAACTTTTCAAGGGGAAATTTTAGAGGTGGATTTAGCAGGGGACGAAGACGTGGTTCTGAGGTTAGAGGGCATACAGTTGGTCAAACGAGCAGAGCTAACATACAGCCACGAGCATTTGCTATGACAAGTGCAGAGGCGAATGCATCTCCAGAAGTGGTTACCGGTATGGTTCTCATGCATGATAAACCCGTTTATGCCTTAATTGATCCTGGGTCTACTCACTCATTCGTGTCTCATAAATTTTCACAACATATGCATGCTCTACCTGGACTATTGCCTAGCAACATATTTGTGAAAACTCCCGTTGGTGATACTATTGTGGTCAATCATGTTTATGTTGATTGTCCTATGATTGTATCTGGAGTAACGTTGCTTGCTGACCTGATGCTACTTAAATTTGATGTGATATTGGGAATGGATTGGTTGAGTAGGCATAGGGCTGTAGTAAATTGTCACACCAAAGAAGTGGTATTTGATGTACCCGAGCAAGGAAGTGTTGTCTTTAGTGGAATTAGGCAAGCAGTACCTAGTTGCCTAATATCTGCTTCCAAGGTGCTGAGCTTGATTAAGGAGGGGTGTGTGGCTTTTCTTGCCCATGTAGTAGAGGTTACAGAAGAGAAAAATCCAAAAGATGTAGAAGTAGTGAATGAATTCCTGGATGTGTTTCCATCTGACCTCCCAGGACTACCTCCTAATCGGGAGGTAGAATTCACTATCGAATTGCTACCGGGCACCGCACCTATTTCTATACCACCGTATAGGATGGCACCTGTGGAGTTGAAGGAGTTGAAAGAGCAACTTCAAGAGTTGCTAGATAAGGGATTCATAAGACCAAGTGTGTCACCGTGGGGTGCTCCCGTACTCTTTGTGAAGAAGAAGGATGGAACCCTAAGGTTATGCATCGATTACCGAAGGATGAACAAGGTGACAGTGAAGAATAAATATCCCTTGCCCCGTATTGATGATTTATTCGACCAGCTGCAAGGGTCAAAAGTCTTCTCCAAAATTGACCTAAGGTCGGGATATCATCAATTATAGGTGGCAGATGAAGCCATACCTAAAACGGCTTTCCGTACGAGGTATGGACATTATGAATTCCTTGTTATGCCATTTGGACTAACGAATGCTCCAGCTGCTTTTATGGCGTTGATGAACAAGGTCTTCCAAGAATACCTAGATAAGTTTGTGATAGTTTTCATAGACGATATCTTGGTGTACTCTCGAAGTGAAGAAGAGCACAGGTGATTTCTGATGCCTCAAAACAACTGCGGCCATATGAAAAGTCCTATCCTACCCATGACTTGGAATTGGCCGCAGTGGTTTTTGCTCTAAAAATTTGGAGAGACTACTTGTATGGTGAAACTTTTCAAATCTTCACTGACCACAAGAGTCTGAAGTACCTGATGGAGCAAAAAGAGTTGAATCTGAGGCAAAGAAGATGGGTGGAATTGTTGAAAGACTATGATTGTACTATTGAGTACCATCCGGGCAAAGCCAATGTGGTAGTTGATGCTTTAAGCCGAAAATCAAAACACTCTGATTCACAACCCGCATCAAATCCCACTCGAGAAATGCTAGCCTTACGGGCATTGAATTCAAATCTTAGTGCGGATAATGATGGGGTGTTATTAGCTACTCTACAAGTACGGTCAATCTTACGAGAAAGGATTCAACAAGCTCAAAATCGTGATCCTTTTCTTAACAAGATAATAGAGGAGATTAAAAATGGGAAGGATGGAAAGTTTGAATTCCAAAATGAAGTCCTTTCACTGAATGGTAGATTATGTGTTCCTAATGTGGATGAATTGCGTAGGGAGATCTTGGAGGAAGCTCACTCCTCTCCTTATGCGATGCATCCCGGTGCAACAAAAATGTACCGCTCATTGAGATCACATTATTGGTGGCCTGGAATGAAAAAGGAAGTGGCGGAGTATGTGTTGACATGTCTAGTATGTCAACGAGTGAAAGCAGAACACCAAGCACCTGCAAGGAAGTTACAACCATTACCCATTCCAGAATGGAAGTGGGAAAAAGTTACTATGGATTTTGTCTACGGTTTTCCTAGAACTCAAAAGAAGAATGATGTCATTTGGGTGATTGTGGATCGACTAACCAAGTCGGCTCACTTTATTCCAGTAAGATGGGGGGTGTTCTTTGGAGCATCTGGCAAAAAGGTATGTGGAAGAGATCGTTCGATTGCATGGGGTACCTATATCTATAGTATCTGACCGAGATCCGAGGTTTACCTCGCGGTTCTGGCGAAGCCTACAAGATGCTTTGGGTACTCAATTGAACTTTTCTACTGCCTTTCATCCTCAAACTGATGGGCATTCTTTGGAGCATCTGGCAAAAAGGTATGTGGAAGAGATCGTTCGATTGCATGGGGTACCTATATCTATAGTATCTGACCGAGATCCGAGGTTTACCTCGCGGTTCTGGCGAAGCCTACAAGATGCTTTAAGTACTCAATTGAACTTTTCTACTGCCTTTCATCCTCAAACTGATGGGCAATCTGAGCGTACTATACTCACCCTGGAGGAAATGTTAAGGGCTTGTGTCATGGATTTCCATGGCTCATGGGATGAACATCTACCATTGATAGAATTTGCATACAACAATCAATATCATAGTAGCATTGGGATGGCACCATATGAAGCGTTGTATGGGCGAAAATGTAGATCTCCAGTTTATTGGGATGAAGAGGATTTGAGACAACTTGAAGGGCCGGAAATAGTGCAAGATACAGTAGATAAAATTAAAGTAATTCGAAATCGGTTGAAAGCTACCCAAGATCGACAGAAAAGCTATGTCGATGCTCATCGACGAGAAATGGAGTTTAATGTGGTTGACAAAGTGTTTCTGAAAGTGTCATCGTGGAGGGGAATCTTTCGATTTCGAGAGAAGGGCAAGCTAAGTCCTAGGTGCATTGGGCCTAACGAGATTTTGGAGAAGATAGGTCCAGTAGCCTATAAATTAGCCTTACCCCCAAAATTGGCTCAAGTACACAACGTCACGTTAGTGTACTCCGGCGATACCGGTCAAACCCCTCACATGTGCTAGAACCTAAACAGGTTGAGATACGAGAAGATTTAAGCTATATAGAGGTACCGGTGGAGATTGTCGATCGGAAACTCAAGCTACTCCGAAATCGGAGTATACCAATGGTCAAAGTAATTTGGAGAAATCACTCGAGAGAGGAAGCTACATGGGAAACAGAGGAGAACGTGAAAGCTCGGTATCCGTACTTGTTTCGAGGTAAATTTCGGGACGAAATTTTATATGGAGGGGGAGAGTTGTAGCACCCTCACCACTTTTTGTTAGCCTGTTCTAAATGTTTGTCTCGTGTGCGAGAATTTATAAAGTAGGGACCCTCAAATTAATTAACTTGTAGTTTTAAACAAGAAAACGCCAACCAAACATGAAGGCATTTCTAAATTGGTATGTTGCCAATTATGTGAACTCAGTTGGCACCACACTAGGAAGAGATTTTATTTGGTTCAATTTTGTGGATAGTCTCCTATTTGTTCGAACTAGCTAGTATTGTCGACTCTACTTCTACGCTCTCACACTATTGGAAATCAAGAGTGAAGTAAACCTCAGGTATATGAGTTGATCATGCAAAACCATTATTGGTCTTCCATCCAGTGAAGTAGAGGAATACGAGCTCTTGTTCCCATCCCATACCCTATTAATTATTTCTCTGAGCCCAAGTCAGAGGGAAGCGACCTCCCTGATTTCCACTTCATGCATGAGAAACACCTATATCCCAACCTCATATAGAGTGCCACACGTGGTTCATCTTATCATAAGTGTCGGGGAAGTTGTAAAGATGGGGAGAGTGAGTAGTTACAGAAGGAAGAGACCATTCTTGCCTTTATTTTTCTTTCGGGGAGAAACCATCTGCAACTTGAGTGAGAGAGGGAGAGGGAAGAGTGAAAGAAATTGGAAGCTAATCAAGGGTGAAGCGAATTGGGTTAACAGAGGTACCCTCCTTTGATGCTTCTTTTGGCTAATTTGATTTAATGGAAGGAAGGAATTTGTTCCGCATGCTGGTGATCAATAGGGTTGCCTCGTTGTAGAGAGTTCTGGTGGGTTATTAGGTTGATTAGGTATTGATAGGTAATGGTTAAGATAGTTGTATTTATTAAGCATTAGTTTATCACTTTATTTAGATATACATGCGTATATGTGTTGGTTGGGAAAGTGGTCACTGAACGTCCCCAAATGGTAAATGGGAATGGAAATTGAACCCATGGGATCTTTGTAGAGTAAATCAACGTGGGATGTATGTAATAATAGGATTAATCATTGTTTAGAATGACTAACGGGAAAGTTAAAGTGATACGAAGTTTAGTATAAGAATAATATAGAAGTTTTCCGAGAAGGGTGATTAATTGGAAGGATTAAGTGTTTAATAGACTATATGTTCTTTTTATTAAGTTGTTCCATAATTAATTGCTCGAATGTTAAACATGTTTACATGATTATTAAAGGAAAGGAGCATGCTGGAGAATCATCAAAGCAGAAGGGTTTAACAGAGTAATCGAGTTGTGAGAATTCTTAACCTAATATATATTTTAGTATGGGCATGGTATTCGGGTCATGAAGCGGCCCAGATACGTGGACTTGTGATAGATCGATAAATGAGCTATGAATGAGTACAAGCTTATATGATGATAATTGATAATATGGATATGTATGAGTTTGCTATTTTCAACGTGCATTGATGAATGAGCTATGTGAAGAATGTATTGATGTGCAATTGAGATGATTGTGTATAGCATCAATGAGTATATGATATGATATGTGTGCCTACAGGCTTATGACGAGATGCTTTACATGAGTATTGTCTAACCCATGAACTACGTGGTAACCTAATAAAAACATAATGGCGCCTTGTTATGCACTCATAAAAAGAAAAAGAGAAGAAAAGAGTTATACGAGAACTCCTTATAAGGAGTATCGCCAGTCCTGGCTACGAGTTCACGAGATACGGCACTTCGTGCTTTTACCTGGAATAGGGCTTGATATGAGTAACTCAAGGGTAAGTGTGTATGATATGAGAACCGTTTAGATCGGTTAATGTACCTTGCATACATAGTTGGGTAAAGTACCATTTAAGCTACTAGATTCGTTAAGTGAAATTAAGCCCTTGGTGCACCTGATCCCCGTGGGCAACTGGAGTATATGTTGGGTTACTAATTACTCATTGAGTGGCGTCTCACCCCCGCCAATATTTTTCCCTTTCAGAGCCAAAGCAACAACAGAAGCCTCGGTCGAACCAGTGAAGTCAGCCGGATGGCTGAAAGGTGTGCGGCGGAACTGAACTCTCCACATGTTTTCACTTTTGAAGTCGAACGAAATGTTTTAATGCTTTTAAGCTTGTGTACCCACTGAATGTTAAACTACTATGTTGGGTTTGTACTTTGTTTTAAACTCAAACTTTGCACCGTTCAGTGTTATGCTTTTGGATGCTTTGGGAAAACTACCTTAGATTTCCTAAGCAGGTGATGTAACCCGTATGCTAGTGTTATGTCCAAGTCTGAATGTGAAGTTAAATCCTAAGGTTTAATGAGTATATAATGTGATGATGGTTCCAATAGTACGAGAAGAGGTAGTAGGATGTTACAAGAAGTAGTAGGGTGTTACAGCAGATGGGTTAGGATGGCGACATCCTTTAGCGTGATGGTTGCCTCTCCTTCTCTAAAGTTGAAACAATGGGTCTCCTTTCTCCATCTCTCAACTAATGCGGTGATGAGTCGGCGATCGACTTTGATGTCGTTAAAATGCCTAATCGGGTCCAACCGTGCCCTTTTGAGAAAGGGCAAGATAGCTGGGTGGAATGGGAGCACATTGGTCGTACCCCTGTAGCGGAGTATTGTTTGTGCCTCCTAGCAAAAATTTACACGTTAATTATTATATATTAGTAAGGGTTTTTTCTTATAACTAAATTAATTAAATTAAATTATTTAACTTCAAGCAGAATTTTATTATCATAAAAATACATTTCATATAATTAACATAATAACATTCTAAATCAATAATAATTTAAAGAGATACATACATATTATCATAAAACAAACATCCTAAATTAATTAACATAATAACATTGTAAATGAATAATAATTTAAAGAGAAACATACATATTCAAATGTTTGAAATTAATAAAATTCATTTTGTACACATAAAAATAAATCTATTGGTTGTTTGGTAAATAATTTAATCGTATTGTTTGTTTTAAATAATTTAATCGAATACAGAGCAACAGTCGTTAGACTCTTAGAAGAGGTATACATCTTCTTAGAAATGCAGTCTAGCCAACAGTTCTTTTTGCCACGTCATCGAAAATTGACAAAGTTAATGGAGAGTGTTGGCTGGTGAGTGGTGACTAACACTGAAATGATTTATAAAGTTAGTGGCGAATAAGAAAGAAAAGTAACTCAAGTGGCAAACATGAAAAGTTAATATAATTTGAGTGACCAAATTTGTAATTTAGCCAAAAAAGAAAGAGATATATTTCCTAATTTGTGTTTAGATATTATTGAATGAATGCTTGATATTATTATGAGAATGTGATCAATTTGAATGAGTTGTGATGGTTGAATGACATGATAGGAACTTAGAATAAAAGTTACTGCTATGAAATTTTCAAATATTGAGGGTTCCAAAAAAAGCATCGTAGATTAGTGTGTGACTACTTGCTTATAATCAATGGACTTTGTTTCTCCTACTCTGTCAATGTCAAGGAGCGTAGTGCGTGAAATGGAGGAATTTTACAATGCTATATAGCATTGGTGCTATAAGGTTTTGCCTTTATGGTACATCTTGAAATTGTACATTTAATGTTATGGTACAACTTCAGACTGTACCTATCCTTTTTGTACAAGTTCTTTTATGGTACAACTTGAACTTGTACCTTTATGTGATGGTACAACTTTAAGTTCAGTAGAAATTCATTTATGGTACAACCTGAACTTATACATTTAACATTATGGTACAACTTTGAGTTGTACATTAAAACATCAATACTTTATAGCATAGTAGAAGTGCTCGCGTGAAATGGCTTACGTTGAATTTCTATTATTCAATTCTTGGATGTGTCACGAATTGTATGTGTGAAAAGTGTTTGGATGATAGGTTGTTTGTAAGAAAATCTCATCTCCAGGCGGTAGGTTTATCGAAAGTCGCTTGATTCTGTGCTTCCTCCCAACTAAGAATTTGCAACTAAACTTGAGAAAGCCCATAAAGTACTCAAAATAAGAGTAGCATCCCCTTGAATCATCAATAATTGGAAGTATCCACCATTCCAACCTCAGTCCGCAACAGATAAATTGCACTTCGACTTCTTTGGACAACGATTTTCAAGACAAGGCTCACAGCTTTTCTAACAATATTCGAACGAGGGTGTTTGATTGATGATTTTGGAACAAATCTAAATTAAATTACTCCTATTCTTATGGAGGTTTAGTGAGGCTCCAACTACGACTAATGCTACATTTGCAAAGAACACGTAAAACTTGACGTAGGCATCAGTTGTGGTTTTGAGAACCCTCCTCATATTTATAGGCATGGAGTGGTAACCGTCGTCGAAAAAACCGCTTGCTCGACAACTATTGTAAAGAACTTCTCCCCCTTCTCTGAAGTGGTGGTTGCTCCTTCAACAGTCTAGGTGCCTCTCTGTTGTTGAAGTTGAAGTTCTGGTGCTTGCCTCCTCTCCACCACGACCATCACTGTAAGATCTCATGACGAAGACTGTCTAGATCTCGTGACCATCGTAGTCAAGATCTAGATCTCGCGACTGATTCGAGCCTAATTGTACATGTTTTACCCCCATTTTGATTAGGTGTTTGTGGAAAATTCGCTCCTAAAAGGTTGGTTTTACGCTAGGTTTCTCGTGTTTTAGCATGTTTCAGGATCCAACAAGTGAAACCAGCCTCAGAGTCGAAAGTTGGACGAAAAGGATAGAACTCGGGAGAAGATGTGAAAAATGGTCAGTTCACGGCTTCCCAGGAAGTTTACAGTCATGCAAGACCGTGAAGAAGAGCCATTGACCGTGAAACTCAAGGCGTCCAGAGCATTCCCAGAGGTTACTGACGCAAGGTGAGTTCACGGTCACTAAGACCATGAACGGAGGCTGTTGACCATGAACAAAAGTGAACGAAGCGATGCGTTTTGGCGCACTCCTGCAGTTCACGGACGCGTTTCATGGTTCACCGTGAACGGAGGTTGTTGACCATGAACATAAGTGAAGAAGGCTAGGGTTTTGCTTCAAGGTGGATTTTTTGAAAATTTCCTCCAAGCAAAGTTCAACACAAGGGCCAAGAAGATTGGGAGCATCCTCCAAGATGGTTTCTTTCTCTTCTCCTTGTATTTTCCCCATTTCTAGCATGGAGTAGATTTCCTTTCACTTGGGTGTTGTGAAACTCTAACTCTACCATGTAGTTTCTTTTATGTGAATTGAATGATTGTCATTGGGTATTGGTTAATTCAATGATTGAGGTATTATTCATATTAATTGTGCATGCTTGTGGTTAGCAACCTAAGGGTTGTGCATGTTTTGTACTTAGCATCCTTAGATTTTTGCATTTTGGTGCTTAGAAACCTAAGGATTGTGCATAATTGTGCTTAGCATCCTTAGGTTTTGCATGTTGGTACTAGCAATCTAATTAGCCACCTTAACCTAGCATAGAAAGGAAAATCCCCCTTCCAAGGGAGACTCAATCGAATTGGTTTTCCTTCAGCTTTTTAAGCCACCTAACTAGGTTAATTTAGGGCAACCCTCAATGTTGAATTAAGAAAATTGGTTAATCGCGATTAAGCCGTCCGACCCATGAGTTGAGTGAGGGAGTAAGTCAACTACCGATTGTCTAAACCGAGAGGGTCGAGTGACACGGCTTATAATGTTTACCTCGTTTTAGCAATTGAGATTGTGGTCTTCGACCATATATGCATCCCTCTGCGGTTCGTGGTTACCTTGCCCAAAGCAATCGTCCAAATTCACATACCATGGTAGTAGTTAGGGGGAAGCGACACCCGAGTGATCCTTCCACAAAAGAGTTTTCAAAACCATTTACCTTTTCCTCATTTTATTTTAATTAGCAAACTATTAAACCAAAACTTTGTTGCTAGATAATGACTACAATGACTGAAGTAGGGGTAGACGGACCGGCCCGTGTTAATATTTAAACATACTTATCCTGTACTGCACCCGGCTGACGTTTATACTTGGACCTTAGGCGAGAGTTTATTGTGGTATTCGGATCGAGTCAGCGACTAACATGGTCAAATCTCGCGACTAACGTTGTTTATATCTCGCGACCACCATGGTCTAATCTCACGACAGAGGATGTCTAGATCTCGCGACCACCCTGGTCTAATTTCACGACAGATGTTGTCTAGATCTCGCGACCACCGTGATCTAATCTAACGACAGAGGCTGTCTAGATCTCGCGACCACTGTGGTCTAATCACGTGACAGAGGTTGTCTAGATCTCGCGACCAACGTAGTCTAGATCTAGATCTCGTGACTAAGGCTGTCTATATCTTGCGACCACCGTGGTCCTCTCAGACATAGCTCTCTCGCTCTCTCGGAGACTTAGTCGTTTGAGTTTAAAAATCTAGTACCATGAAGCCCAGTCTAAAGTCTAAACAACACTAATTGTTATAATTTATATGGCCTTATAAAGAAAATAGATGCCTTATAAATAATTTATGTGGTACACGATTATTTTTATGCGTAAACACTTTTACATATTTTCTATGAAAATATAATCCTGTGTTCGAGAATTCTTCGCATTATGATCTAATTTTTCCAAACTCAAACCATTACACAAAACACAAACCTGCTCTGGTTTTCATTATCACACATATAGGAAATTCGATCAACCTACTACACTACTACTATTATTATTATCATTGTTAGTGTTGTGGTATATGATCCACGATTGAACCTCTCCCAACAACTCGAGTTATTGGGATCAATTGGTTCTTGACATGGTATCAGAGCCTTTAGTGACCGAAAGGTCTTGTGTTCGATTCCCGGTGACCCCCATTTGTTAAGCACATGGTATTCTTGTCTTCAGACCTGTGCAAACTTCAAGCCCTTGTGGGTGGCTTTCGTTTGAGGGGACGTGTTAGTATTTTGGTATATGATTCACGATTGAACCTCTCCCAACAACTCGAGTTATTGGGAGCAACTGGTTCTTGACATGGTATCAGAGCCTTCAGTGACCGAGAGGTCTTGTGTTCGATTCGCGGCGACCCCCATTTGTTAAGCACATGGTATTCTTGTCTTTAGACCTGTGCAAACTTCAAACTCTTGTGTGTGACTTTCGTTTGAGGGGGCGTGTTAGTGTTGTGGTATATAATCCACGGTTCTTGACAATCATTATTATTTGATGATGAGTTGCATAGAAAATAATTAAGTTTTCCGACCGAGATAGGTTCATTTGGGAATATCCTCATGAATATCACAAAGCTTAAAACACGAGCAAAGAGCTCCTTCATCGCACCATCCAAAAATGTAGTCTCCAAACTTCTTTCTGCATCCTGTGTTGCACGCGCTGTCTACACAATCCGTAGAACCACCAATGTCATGATACGGTATCGTCCCTGTCGGACAAAGCTTTGCAT